TCCCTTTCTTCCACCTCCCTCCATCTCTTGGTCTTCTTCCTTTTGACAAAAACATCTACTTCCCTGTTTCCTGATACCTATCTTTTATTTTGTTAGGTGGATTCTTTATAAGCTGGGTTTCTCATGTAATAGAAAGCCTTCCAGTACTTAAGCCTGTGTGTCTGGTTTCTTTCACCTCACATGATGTCTCTAGATGTGTCCATCCAGTGAAATGAGATGTGCCTTGTTCACTTCCAAGAGCCTCCACTATGCTCCTAATCCTCACCATGGATAATAATTATTCGGATTTTTGTTAAACTATGCTCACCTAGGTGGTAGATGAGTATGTTTCCATTCTAAGTGGTTAACTTACTATTTTGTTGCTTTCCAGCACCACTATTTTCAAAGCAAGCGCACATGGGCCCTTTCTACATGTTCCAAAATCCACTGATCCCAGAGGAGCAGAGCCTGGGCTCAGCAGAGAGACAATCCCAGCTCAGGCTGTGCCCTGTCCCTTACTGGCTGTCCTACCTTAGCAAAGTGCTTGACCTCTCCGGGATCCAGGTTTCTCATGGGAGAAAAGGACAACAGTGCCTTCCTTCTGCAGAGCACTTTCTGAGGATTAGCTGATAACGAACTTGGAAAGTTCTGTGAACTCTTACTTGGTGTGTAGTAAAGATTTAGCACAGAGTAGCCACTTTGTGCTGCTGTCCTTTTCAGGAATTCTAAGACTTTTCATTAAAATAGGAACCTTTCCACCTCCCTCTTCAGAGTCTTTTGATCAGCTAGTGGGAGCAGAATAGGATGCTACGTATCACCCTCGGAGAGGTGTCTGGTGGTGAAGGATGAGGATTTAGGCTTTATCTTTGCTTCTCCACAACCCTTGGATATTGATGCCGAGCATGGGGTGCTGACTCTCGATGGTAAGGCTTTGTTCCTGGGTGTGTCAGCAGCAGGAAAGATTGAGGCAAAGGCCTGCTGTAGGTGCCACTGAATCATGGTGATCTAGGGATCCTGTTTTCCCTTTCTGCCTTACTTAGGTGAGAGACACCGGTGTCCCATCAGACTTTGTAAACCAGTTCATGTTCTACTCAATTTATTCTCTGTTATCTTTCTGTTTTTGAGTTGGGCCTCACTGTGTGGTTCACACTAGCCTCAAACTTGTTATGCTCTCGCCTCAGGCCTCAGAGTGTTGGGAAGTATGCACCATGCCCGATCTCCTTTCATGATTAAATACGTGGACCTCACCCAACTTTGTCCTGAGAGCTAAGGAACTTCTGACACATGTATATTCTTGTTGTGCATTTATTCATTTAAGCAAGGTGGGTTCTGTTTGTTCACTCCATGTACTAAAAATACTGAAGCCTCCAGAATTTAAAGAACATATTTGAATTCAAGAAATGTGTGTCTTCGCTTTTACAAGTCTGGAAATTCTGTATTTGTGTTAGAGGGC